TCTCAGGGTCTCGGGATTGTGGGTTTTAACAGGATAAATGAGATTATACTACACATGTTGCTCTCTAACTTGCTTTACAATGTGACGCTAGAGACCTTCATTCTCTGAGTTGCCGGACAATAAATATGTACTGTGGTTATTTAATCACGGCTCTACTGGACACTGTTGATTTTGTACTATTATCAACAGTGCTATGTGCACTTCCTAGGACGTGTAGGGTGCCTTTGAGTATGTTTGCGGAATGAATATTTTAAGCATCCACAAGCAGAAATGCTGCTAATTTTGATAGATTTAAACTGCCTTTTAAGTAGTGCATCCATTTATATTCTTACTGACAGTAGATGTTAGTAAGTTTCCTTATACTTTTGCCAAAAGCAGGTATTGTAAATCTTTGAAAAATCTGCATTTTGATAGTTAAAAAATAATACTTCATTTAAATTTGTATTTGTCTAACTACGGAGACTTAGTGTTTTTCAAGTTTATTAATAATTTATGTATAATTTATATATTACACATATGTAATTTATATAATATACAAATATGAATATATATGTATAATTTTTCCCCTGTGAAATAGTTGCATTTAATCTGAAAAGTATCTATTAATTGGCAAAGAGCCCGAGAAGGGGTGTCTGGCTGGCCTAGTCTGTAGAGCATGTCACTCTTGATCTCAGGGTTGTAAGTTTGAGCTTCATGTTGGGGAGTAGAGATTACTTAAAAATAAAAAATCTTAAGGAAAAAAAAAAAGCCCAGAGAAGAAACAGTCATCTGTCATGTCCAACCCATCAGGTCACTAGCTCTGAAGAGAGACCTTTAATGACTTAAACGGAAATGTAATTGTTCATAACAGAAAACCAGAGAGAGAAACAGAATTCATCTAATTATGAAACTGTTTTTAGGGGCGCCTGGGTGGCTCAGTTGGTTAAGCGACTGCCTTCGGCTCAGGTTATGATCCTGGAGTCCCGGGATCGAGTCCCACATCAGGCTCCCTGCTCAGCAGGGAGTTTGCTTCTCCCTCTGACCCTCCCGCCTCTCATTCTCTCTCTCTCTCAAATAAATAAATAAAAAACTGTTTTTAGTCAGAAAGAGTTTTTGGTACTACAAACGTGGTTCACATTACCCAAAACAGTGATATCTAATTGGGTTCCCCAGGGGGGCAAAATTACTGTAAAAAAAAAAAAAGCATACAAACATCTGGTGTTTTAAATTTGATGTCTCTGAATTATAGAGGAACCATCTATTCAGCTTAATTTGGGCTCATAACTTTAGTCTTCTAAACTGCTGTGTTATTAGAAATATTGGAAATGTTCTTTATTTGTCCCGTCTAATAAAGTAGCCACAAGGCACATGCAGCTCTTAAATTTTAATTAAAATTAAATAAGATAAAAAAAGAACTCAGTTCCTGTGTTACACAAGTCATGATGCAAGTGCCCAATGGCTCTATGTAGCTAGTGGCTACCTTATTGGACAGTGCAGACAGAGTCTTTCAACACTGTTGCAAAAGTTCTATTGGACAGAGTGGTTTTAGAAGCACGAACAATGAGCACAAATGGATTTTAGCTGATGGCTGACTCACTGCACTGAACTGAACTGCTCTACACCTGCAAAGGGACACCTTCAGAGAACAAGCATGATTTGCTTCTCAGATTTATCTAAACAGGTTTGTGTTAATCTCTGTTTTAGCAAATTAAGAAAGAGTTGTTTGAAATGTTTTTATTTTTTGCTTTTGAATTCTATGGGATTGAGTCTAGGTAGACTAGTATTCATGTCAGTTATGAAAGCTTCAGAACCTAAGATTTGTAGCTAAATAATTTACTGCTCCTTCTTTCAGGAAATACTATGCTTTTGTACCTTAAGGAAAAAAAATTATTATTTTTTTGTGATAATAGAAGTGCTCATGGTAAAAACAAATTAAAATACATATAATTATTAAAAAAAAGTCAATTGTAATCACACCACCCAGAGATTGCCATAGTTAATATCTTGATGAATTTCCTTCTAGGCTTTTTTGTATGCATCTCTACATATAAACAAATATATAATTATGGGGTCATACTGTTCTGTTTTATAAACTGAAACAATGTATTAAATGTCTTTTTACATTAGTATTTGTTTATCATTTTTACTGGTTGCATAGTACCATACTATGGATGCACTATTATTTATTAAGAACAATACTGTCTTTCTTGTATTGATAATTATTTTGGACAGTTTCAATTTGTGATTATTATAAACAACATGAATGATACCATTGCTTATACTTTAAAGTGTTTTGGATTGTTGGATCAAAGAATATATTATTATTAACATAATAAAGTTAAATAGAAATTTTCTCTCAGAAATACAACTAAATTTTAGAAGGTTGATGCTTTTATAAATCTTTTCAAGTGAATGAAGCTTTAGAAAAGGAACCAAAGACTTTAGAATCAGTTATTTAAAAAGCCCAAACGATCACTATTTGACATACCTAATTTAAATAAAGAGAAAACAGATGATTTCCTAATGTTTCTTTCATGCAAATCTTAAGTGCACCCAAAGAAGAAAAATAAGTTTAGTAGAATAGGACCTGACTTTAGAGCCACACTGATTTTCAATGTCAGTTCCAAGTGTGTGACCTCTGGTAATTTAAAGATTTTATTTATTTATTTGGTGGGGGAAAGGCAGAGGAAGTGGGAGAGAGAGAGTCCCAAGCCGACTCTGCGCTCAGTGCAGAGCCGGACGTGAGGCTTGAACCCACAACACTGAGATCATGACCTGAGCCAAAATCAAGAGTTGGATGTTTAGCCAACTGAGCCACCCAGCTGCCTCAACCTTGGATAATTTAGGTGTGCCTCAGTTTCCTCATCTGTAAACTGGGGAAACAACATACATAACTCATAAGACCTTTGTGATGAACATATCATTTAGCTATAGTATCCCAGTATTGTATTTAATTGTGTAACATTTCCCTTTATATAAGGGATATAGAACACATATTGATATTTTGAATGAAAGTTATGAAAACATTTCTCTTTTTATCTTACCTGTGGGATATATTTCCTCTTAGATACATTAGGGTATCTACCTTAATATGGAATGTACTGCTTGATAATCCAAGCATCTAAATTATAACTAGCCTGACTGTTCCTTCCAAAAAAGCAAGCTATGTGTCTTAAATAGGTCAAATATTGTTACAATGAAAATATCTATAATGCTACCACCACAAGAGCCATCTGTTTATGTCAAGAAAAACATTCTGCTAATACAAAAATAGTTGAGAATTTTTGGAGTTCTTTTTTTTTTATCTTGAAGTTCTATTTTTTTAATTTAAGATTTACTTAGTTAACTGGACTCAGGAAACAAACTGAGTGTTACTGGAGTGGTGGGGGGTGGGAGGGATGGGGTGGCTGGGTGATAGACATTGGGGAGGGTATGTGCTACGGTGAGCGCTGTGAATTGTGCAAGACTGTTGAATCACAGATCTGTACTTCTGAAACAAATAACGCAACATATTTTAAGAAAAAAGAAAAAGAAGATAGCAGGAGAGGAAGAATGAAGGGGAGTAAGTCAGAGGGGGAGACGAACCATGAGAGACGATGGACTCTGAAAAACAAACTGAGGGTTCTAGAGGGGAGGAGGGTAGGGGGATGGGTTAGCCTGGTGATGGGTATTAAAGAGGGCACATTCTGCATGGAGCACTGGGTGTTATGCACAAACAATGAATCATGTCACACTACATCAAAAACTAATGATGTAATATATGGTGATTAACATAACAATAAAAATAAAAGATTTACTTAGTTAACTGGAGTTCATTTTAAGATGATAAAAATGTACACAATTTTTCATAGATAATTCAGAATTTTATGAATATTAATATTACTGAAATTTCTGATTTCTAAAAAGGCTCAACAACTGCCAGAAAGCCAACAGAATTTAGACATTTAAATGTGGATTAAAAAACAAATCTAAATTCTTATATCAAGAGCCAGATCTGTTTCCTCTGATTTCATTAAATGCTGTATCTTACTGAATTATCAAATGAAACACATTTTCCTTTGTGTATAAATGAAATTTTAAAATCACTGACTTTGGTTATAGTTTTCATATAATCTTAATAAAGAGGTTTGTAAGATCATGTCAGTAGTTTTAGGAACCTCTCCAAAAGTTCTCAGTTAAACAAAGTAAAACAGTAATAAACTTCAGCTAACAATAACAAGACTCCTTTCTGATAGGGAATCCTACAGTTTTTTTTTTTATTTTTATTTACTTATTTTAAGTAATCTCTACACCCAATATGGGGCTTGAACTCACAACCCCGAGTTCAAAAGTCACATGCTCTTCTGACTGAGCCAGCCAAGCCACCCATCTACAGTTCTGTTCTTCATAGAGAATATATACAACCCCTCCTCCAGGTATCTTTTTTTTCTTTTTAAAGATTTTATTTATTGATTTGAGGGAGAGCAAGAGAGAGAGAGCATGAGCTGGGGCAGAGGGAGAGAGAGAAGCAGACTCCCTGCTGAGCAGGGAGCCTGCCACAGGGCTTGATTCCAGGACCCTGGGATCATGACCTGAGTGGAAGGCAGATGCTTAACTGAGCCACCCAGGCGCCCCTCTTTTTTTTTCTTCATTACATTATGAGGTCTAAACATAAGTGATTGTAAATTCCTGGTATCTTTTTTTTTTTTTAAGATTTTATTTGAGAGAGAGAGAGAGCACACACAAATGGGGGCAGAGGGAGAGGGAGAAGCAGACTCCCTGTTGAGCAGGGAGCCCCATGCGGGGCTCAATCTCAGGACCCCGGGACCATGACCTGAGCCGAAGGCAGATGCTTAACCAACTGAGCCACCCAGGCACCCCTAAATTCCTGATATCTTAAATATATCCTTGGTGAGATTATCACAGTTCTCTAGGGAAAAAGTAGAGCAACCAGCATATGAAGAGAGTGATGCTTTGTTCATGTTTTGGCCATAGGTTTGCTTTATGAAATAGCACGCCCTTCAGAATGGAAGAATTTACCTGTCTCCTATTTGATGGGGTTCAGAGTGAAGCTGGCTGACTAAATAAACATGGGGAACTGGAATTTCCTTGGAGGCATCCTGGAGGAAGTTCACATCCACTCCACCATCATTGGAAAGATCTGGCTCACTATCCTGTTCATATTTCGAATGCTTGTTCTTGGTGTAGCAGCTGAGGATGTCTGGAATGATGAGCAGTCCAGCTTCATCTGTAATACAGAACAACCCGGCTGCAGAAACGTGTGCTACGACCAGGCCTTTCCTATCTCCCTCATTAGATACTGGGTTTTGCAGGTGATATTTGTGTCTTCACCATCCCTGGTCTATATGGGCCATGCTTTGTACCAACTGAGGGTTCTGGAGAAAGAGAGGCAGAGGAGGAAAGCTCAACTGAGAGGGGCCCTGGAGGGCATGGGGTTTGAAATACCTGGGGACCGGAGGAGACTGCAGCAAGAACTTTGTCAGCTGGAACAAAGGAAACTAAACAAAGCTCCACTCAGAGGAACCCTGCTTTGCACTTACGTGGTACACATTTTCACTCGCTCCGTGGTTGAGGTTGGGTTCATGATTGGACAGTATCTTTTATATGGATTTCATTTAGAGCCTTTAGTTAAATGCCATGGCCACCCGTGTCCAAATATAATTGATTGTTTTGTGTCAAGACCAACAGAAAAGACAATATTCCTATTATTTATGCAATCTATAGCCACTGTTTCTCTTTTCTTAAATGTTCTAGAAATTTTCCACCTAGGTTTTAAAAAGATTAAAAGAGGGCTTTGGGGACAATATAAATGGAAGGATGAGCATAATGAATTCTTTGCGAACAAGTCGAAACAAAATCATGCCAAATATCAGAGCACCTCTGCAAATTCACTGAAGAGACTCTCTTCTGCACCTGATTATTATCTGTTAATGGAAAAGCAAAAACACACAGCAGTGTGCCCTATTTTAAATTCACCTGCATTTCAGGCAGATCCTGACAATCACAGTGGAAATGATGAGAAACGCATTTTGGATGAACAAGAAACTGTACTTTCTGATGAGATGTGGACACTTAGCGCTACGTGTAGTCATCTTCAACACATCGGCTCATGTAATAATGAAGACACTCATAAAATATTTAGAAAAGAAGTGGGTAGCCCATTAAGGGAAAAAAGAGAAATTGATGGCAAAGACAGCAAAAGGAACCACTGCTCTAGATGTCACTGTTCTATTCCAGGTGTTGCTATAGATCTGGACAACCACATGGGGCAGTCATCCCAAACAGTTTTCCCTCCGCCTGCTAACTGTGCCTGGGAACAGTTGTGGCTTAGATCTACATGCTGTCCCTCTATGGAATATGAAAATCAGGTGTCACCTCCTAAAGGAAACCTCAAGGGCCAGTTCAGAGAGGGCACAATTAGCACCCTGCCTCCTTCACTGGGAGACTGCCAACCGCTTCACATTCCAGACACTCCTGATTCTTTGGGACAGTTGTCCTTTAAATCTGATTTGGCCAGAAGCTGCAATAATCCTACTGCTTGTCCTCCAAATCATTTGGTCTTGCTGACAAATAACCTCACTGGTAGGCGGGCTCCCACAGACCTTCAGATCTGAACTGCTTTAGGCTTCTAGACATTCTGCATATTATGTTATCATAGAAGTAGCCTAGTGGTGATGGAGCACACGCATGACAAGGGCAGCTCTAAAGACCAGGTGTTACAGGCAGAAAATTGCAAACCCATTTCAAAAAGGAAAAACAGATTAATTCTGAATGGTGAAAGGGCAGTTTTAAATTCAAAGACATAGTTACCAAGTATCAGGATTACTTTTTCACAGGCTCCCTTCAGAATTCATGAAAACTGATTCTGGGAAAGTCACATGTTTAGAATCGAGGCTTAATGGTTTGGAAACAGGTTTTTCCTTGAAGGGAGTACAGCTTTAGGAGATTCTCCTTGTTCTACATAATTCTCCCTTTTAGTTGCTAATCTTTTATTTCTGCACAATGTTTAAATTGTTTGTCCCTGGGACTTAATTTAGTTTCCTTATTGACTGCAAGCTGATGTCTCTTGAGTATAATGATAATGTTGCTGTCTAGTAAATAAAATCTTAAAAAGATTGATGGCTTTATAGCATCGTGATTTCAGTGCCCAGATTGGAATTGCAGCTCTACCCTCCCTGGTCCTCTAACTTCGCCACTTTATTAACGGTGCCTACCTTACAGGGATAGCATGAGAATTAAAAAAGAAACGTGTTTAGTACAGTGCCTGGCACACGGTAAGCGCTCAAAAGCTTAGCACGTTACTGCTCACCCCCTCCAGAGGCCCATATCAAGCCCGCCACAAAACAAACTCCAAAAGTAAAAGCTGGAGCGGAAACATAACGATTCTAAGCACTCCTCTCAAGACACTGCATACCCAAGGGTCGCCCTGCGTCGGTCGTGCGCACCTTTTCAAGATGAGAGCCAAGAAGCCAGCACATACAGGTTGCCACACCTAATGAGGTCCAAGTTGAGACAGGTCGGCTCCAGACCGGTGTCCGAAGATCACACCCTGCTACGGTCCTAGTGCTATCGGCCTCCGCAGGCCCTGCCCCCTGGCGCCACGCCCATCTTTGGCCCCACCTGGACACTAGTCCGGAGTTAGCAAAAACTCGCCTCTCGCTCAGCAACCGAAACGCTGCAAAGACCGGAAGAGGAAGGAGAGGTGCGCTCCGGGAGCAAAGAGGCGGGTGTACGCAGCCTCCTTCGACTTACCCCACTATGGGGCACTCAGAGCGTCCTGGTTGTCATGAAAACAGGCCACATCCCTGCGATCTCGGACTGTGGTTTGCAAGTGCGCAGGCGCGCGCGCCCTTCCGCGCATGAGCAGTGCTGCTCAGAGCCCGCCAGCCACGGTCTCGGGCGCCAGCTACGCCGCTGCCGCTGTCACTATGGCCCATTACAAAGTGAGGGGGGCGCGGCGTGGCTGGGGGCGTGCGGGCGGTAGCCAGCCGCTGGTCGGCTCGGGGTGGGAGTGGGGGCGCGCGCGCAGGTTTTGGGGGCCTGAGGTAGCGAGGCGGAGGCGGGTTTGCCGGACTCCCAGCGCCTTCTTCCTGCTCCGGCCCCTGGGCTTCGGCCACTGACCCGCCGTGTCTCCTCAGGCCGCCGACTCGAAGCGCGAGCAGTTCCGGAGGTACTTGGAGAAGTCGGGGGTGCTGGACACGCTGACCAAGGGTGAGCATGGGTTAGGAGAGGGTTCCTCGTGTCCACGCCGTGCTCCTCGGCGCTGCGCCCCTGACGGGCCAAGGCGTGGGGAAGGAGGGGGAACAGGTGGGAACTGTCTGGGGTCCGGCAAGGTGGGCCTCGGGATTCAGCAGGGACTGGCGCACGTCTGGCTGTCGGACGCCGCCCGAGTTGGGGTAGCCTCGCTCATGCTACCACTCTCCGGGCGGGGAGTGAAACTCTTGCAGCTGTTGCAAAGTCCCTCAACTTCCGTTGCTTTGCCTCGAGCGGTCGCAGCGAGCATATTTGCTAAAGACCTTGAGATCCCAACTCCTCCCTCAATTTTGGTGGAGTCAAAATTATGTAAAGAAGCATTTTCCCTCGAACAAAGGGCAAGTGGGAAAATTACCAGATTTCAAAGTTGCCTGTAAAATAAGTGAACTCAATCCCCAAAGTAGGCGATTCATAGACAATTTGGCTGTGGTTTTTCAACCCTCGTTTCGTAGGCTATACCAATTCCTGCTTTGTGCATATTTCATAAGTAGAATTACAGTTTAAAGAGCTTGAGGGCACATGAAAATGGTTATATTGTTTACACCTTTTAAGATGGAAGCTGTTACACTGTATCTCTTTCTCCAAGGGGGTTCAAAACCTAAGATGAGTAAGGAGCTTGAAACTGGAGAGTTCCAAGAGATAGTTGGGGTACTGTTTATTTCACTAGCTTAGCAATAATGTGAATGTCTGCTATGTATCATTCAACTCATTGGCTAGAACTTTCAAGGAGATAGAACAGAAGAGCTGTCAGGGATGATGACTGGGTCCATGAGAAGTGTCTGGAAAATTATTTGGTAACTGCTCTTTGGCCAGAAGCAAAGGTTAGGAGAAAATTCTGGGAGAATAACTCTGGGTCTTAGCAGAAAGCAGGACTTTTAATTCCCATGCATGGGCTGATAATTTTGAATTGCTATCTACCTTAGGTTCAGATAATAGTTTCCTTATCTCTTTGCAATTAAATTTCAGCAAACATGACAGGAGTACTCTGTGAAAGTGCTGTGCTCTGTCCTCTCTTGAAGTGTCCTCTCTGCCCTCTCTTGCAGGGTTCCCCCCCCCCTTTAAAAAACTCCATGAGTTCATTTCTTTCATTTATTTCACCATTTTATTCAGGTCTCTGTTCTAGGCACTGGGGATACAGCAGTGGGGGAGAAAAAAAAAAAAAACCCTGCTCTAAATGAGCTTATATTCTAGTTGGAGGTAATAAATACATAGTGCCAGCCAGGGGGAAGTGTTATGAATAAAAATACAGCAAAGGGGATAGGATAAAGAGCAACGGGTGTGCCATTTATAAGGGGTGGTGGGGGAAGGTCTCTCTTGAAAGTAACATTTGAGCAGAGATCTGAATGAAATGTGATGTCAAGAGTTCCAGGAAGTGCAAGGAGCCCAGAGTGGCTGGATGGAGTAAAAGACAGAATGTTAAAAGGCAGAGAAGTGACCTTGGTGGGAGGTAACAGCCTTGTGGCCATACATGGATCTTCTTTCATGAGACTGGAAACCCCTGAAGGCTTCACATATACTGGCATCTAACTCCTCAATCTCTGTAGATTTCCAGTCTCCTAAATAATATCAGAGAACTTAACATAATGTCTCTACTGATGTGCGCTATTTAAAATTTGATTTTCAGCTTCAAACATGGGTACTTTACACATATTTAATTTATAATTTTAATACAGCGTATTTCCAAGAGGATCTGAAACTGCTTCTAACATTAAAACACTGTAAGGATGGCTAAAGATAAAGATAAGTCATTTGGAAAAAGAAGCATTTGAGATATTTTGAGTACCATATCAACCTCTAAAAATCCCGCCTGCTAAGGCAAAAAAGGGAAACACCGGCTATCGAGTTCTTGTCTGATAAAAAGGAAGTATATTTAATCTATAGAAAAGCACAGGAAACTTGACATTTACACATTATGTTCTGTAATTATCAACCTCATAGTACCACTGACAGAAATTTAGAAGCTGGAAGAAATGGGGTGGGGAAGAAGTAGAAAGGGTAATAAGAGTATTCATGTCTTATAAAGTTAGTTGGCAAAGATCAGTGGAAATTAATGGAAGAAGAAACAGGTTTGAGTATGTTATTTAAAGAAAAACATATTGAAAGGAGAGGGTGGTGGTGATGTAAATATACCAATTTCTCAAAAAATAGAGTTGTAAGTATACTCAGAAGAATAACTATCAGAACTCAGTGTGGGTTAAAAAATCATTGCCCTTTGATTTTTTCATACTGTCTGTATTATTTTGATGAATTAAAACTAAAAAATAAAAAGGAAGCGTGTAAGTTTTGCAACAGAGCTTAACGTGGAGTCTAGAGATGCACATTTTTTGTGTATAGTTACATTTTTTGGCTTTTGTCACTTTTCAAAGGGTTCCATGCACAAAAAATTTAACCACTGGTTTAGAGAGATTTTTATCTGAGTAGTAAATCCCAGGAGGAATTTGTTCAATAGAAGATGAGCAAGGTAGTGCTGACAAGCTTTCGGATATAAACTAAAACATCTATTTTAATATTGATTTGAGCATGTTGATTACTGATAAAGTTTTTGGTTGGTGGTTACTTAGCATGTTGTATATGAAACTATTCTTGAAGCACAGTTTGAATTCAAAGCTTCTTTCAGTTATTACCATAGCTCTGTTGTTTCTCTCCAAAATTTTTCTCAAATTTACTTAGTTTTCACCCCCCATCACTCTAGTGCGGGTTACTATCTTTTTCAGCTGGATTGCTACACCTGCCTCTTAACTGTTCTTCCTTCCTTCATCCTTGTTCCACTCTGGATCTTCCACACAGCAGTCAAGAGTGATCCTGTCACTCTCCTGCTTAACACTGTTTAATTATATGCCTGTTCTGAGGATCAAAGTCCAACCGAACTTGCAGGATCCTCCCTGGTCTGCGTCCTGACCACCTTGCCAGCTTCCTTCCCTGCCACATTGTTCACAGCTCCATCTAGCCATACTTGAATTTTCAGTTCCTCAGTGTGTTGTTCTCTTGCCCTCCCCACACCCTCACCTTCCCATTTTATCTGAAACCCTCATAGCCAAGGCTCAGGTCTTATTTCCCTTCGTTAGGGAGCCTTCCCTGGTGTTCTAGGCTGAGTTAGGTGTTCTTCCAATGTGCTCCCATAATCCATCATCCTGTATTGCTGCTTGATGCTTTTTTTTTTTTGGTCTAGTTCTTTGCTTTTGCACTAGACTGTAAATTTGTTGAGAGCAGGGACCTTATCTGCCTTGTTTACCATGGTATGGCAGTCCTAGCAATGTGCTTGGTGTATAATAGGCATTTAATATTTACTGGGCTATATAATTTCAGTCATTCAAATTTAAGACTTTAATTGTTGCTTTTTTCTGCTTTTTGATTTGCAGTATTGGTAGCCTTATATGAAGAACCAGAGAAACCTAATAGTGCTTTGGAGTATCCTTTTCATCTTTCAAGTCAGAAAAAGGACTTATCTTTGGAACTCTTATTTTTTCACATGGATAATATTTAAAATATTTTTGACGATTGAAAAAGTTACTTTCCATTATGTTTTGCAATGATGATCTCTGGGTCAGTGTTGGTGGTAAGGTGGGGTGACCATGATCAGAGATATTGATACTACTCTGAGCTATTTCATTAGTTTCATTCAGCTCAAGTAAATTCTTAACTTTGATATTAGTTTTTTAAAGCATCACTTAGGAGCTGCTACCCCAGAAAATCCAGAAATAGAGCTGCTTCGCCTAGAATTGGCAGAAATGAAAGAGAAATATGAAGCTATTGTAGAAGAAAATAAAAAACTGAAAACAAAGGTAAATGTTTTAAAAGAATTCATGTTAAAAATAATTTCACCCTTAATGATTATAAGAACAAAACCTCACTAAAATGGATATTAGGGGAGGGAGGAGGATAAACAATCTCGATTAACTGCAAGGCTGAACTGATGCCCTATCTAGAAAACCACAAATTATAAATAGGACAAGCAACGTGTGGTCAAGAAGAGGTTCTTGGGAACCTGCATCAAGAAAAAGATGAGAGGGGCACCTGGGTGGCTCAGTCGTTTAAGTGGCCGACTCTTGATCCCAGCTCAGGTCTTGATCTTAGGGTCATGAGTTCAAGCCCTGCATTGGGCTCCACGCAGAGCATGGCGCCTACTTAAAAAAAAATAAAAATAAAAAAAAAAAAGATGAGAATTAACATTGGTTAATGCTGCTTATGAGTAAATGGAGATTTCTGGGAGTTATAAGCAGTTGATTTAAGTAGGTCATTGTAGGGTCAATGCTTTGTGAATGGCACCTCTTAGAGTTGTGCAGTGCATAATCTGCACAGTTGTATGTGCTGGCCCTGGAATGTGTTTATCTCCATAAATTTGTTTGCACTTAATTTTGTCTACTGCTCAAGTTTTTTCTTTGTTGAAACTCCTATGAGAATTTTCATAAACTTCCAATTAGTCAACTCTAAGTCTTTGAGGTTTTTCCACATTCTGAATCACATAACGCATTTTACATTACTCTAGGCATTTCTCATAATGTGATTTATCTGTTCAACCTTGCGAGATAAGCGAAACAGGTACACAAACCATTTTATAGGTAGGAAACTAAAGCACAGTGAAGTCTAATTATCTTCTCAAATCTGACAGCTAATTGGAACAACCTAAATCTTAGCCTAGTGTTCTGGCAGGGAACCACAGCTCAGCATAATAGAAAATGCAGCTTCTCAAATTGTCCAAGATTCCACAACACAAATACCAGTTAACTCTTTGGCACCCATTAAGTCAAAGACATGAGCTTCTCTTCATTGACTGGCTAGATTAATATATGTTACATTATTATTTTTTTCTGTTTTTAAGAGAAAGTTCAGTAAACTTGGGGTAAAGAGAGTAAGTCCCTTACCAGAAGTCACAACATCTTTGGGAAGATATAGATAGATTATTGCATATCAGGTATTTGAGCAGTGCAGTTATGAATTGAAATTCAGCTTTGGTTTCCCAGTAATTTTAAAGGTTTATCTGAAAGAGTTTTCATTACATTTGATTGTATTAAATCTTAAATTGTATTAATCTTAAATGGTTTAAAAAGGGATAGGCTATTCATATAAAGTTACTGATTCAGTAATTAAATTGAATATAATAGTTAACTACTCGTTTTGTTACTATTAAGTTTTTTTACCCAATTTAGAATAAAATTCACCTAAACTCCTCTGTCTTTGCCCTATAGCTTGCTCAGTATGAACCACCTCAGGAGGAGAAGCGTGCTGAATAGGATTCTTCTCAGTTGAAAAGACACTGAAAAAATGGTTTTGTATGACTTGAATAGTTTGTATAGTATATAATCTTTTCTGAACAGATGCTCTAGAACTCTTTTAATATGTTGAATTCACCTCTCACACTTTAACTGTTATAAACACATATACTTAGAATCACCAATAAAAACTCAATATAACTTTCTTTGGGTCTTAAAAGCAGGAGAATCCAAAGTGAATCCTGGAAAAAAAAAATCTAAACACAGCCATCTAACTCATTACTTTAAAAGACATTCTGTTTATTAATCTGACTAGGAATGATGGTACTGGTTGTATTTTAGCCAAGGAAGTTCAGCATGGAGCTGTTCCTTGGTTTAGTGCAGGATATGAACACAGGTATAGTCATTCTTTAAAATGAAGATGACACTGTTGTTTATATCCTCTGTAGGCAGCTGGAGAGATCTGTGTGACAGAAGATGCTTTTGCACAGGTTCCCATGAATCTTCTGCTCTTGTTTATATAATGTGGAACAAATGACTTCTTTGCCACCACTTTGCCTTAGATAACCATGTGTGTGCCAGTCTGAACTCTGACACCACGTTTCCTTCTATGCAATCATGCCCTATCTGATGATGTTGCCTTGCTTTGCTCTGTGCTTCAGTGGGTCCTAGCTGCACCTGGCCTGTGTTGTTTTTCAATTTACTATACTAGTAGTTACCCTGATTGTAATTTATATAACTTCAAACAGGATCACACTGTTCCCCTGCCTTACTTAGTTGCTTAGTTGAGCAGAGAACTGAGGCAATATAAAATTCTGGGTTCACGCACAAGCTGGGATAAGATGGGGAATGAGCCATATATCGTGGAAAATTATAGTCTGCGGGTATAATTATATAGTGTTTTTTTCCCTCAAAGTATTTTTCTAGCCTTGAATTCATTTTATCTTCATTATCCCTGTGAAGTAGGTAGGGCAAGTATGAGGCAAGGTCGGGTGCTGAATTTTTAGGCCAAAGACTGATATTAATACAAATTATTTACTAACTGTAGAACCTTGGGCACTTCAGTTAACTGCTCTGAGATTCACTTTCCTCATCTGTTAAATGAGAAGAATAAGATCAGTGCTGCCTACCTCACAGGGTTGTTGTGAGGGTCAAATGGAATGTATGTGAAAGATCTGTAAATGGTAAAGCACTATGTTCTTGTTTGTTAGTCCTTTTCCTTTCTTTTGGAAGACCTACAGTCAGATGTTTCATTTTCTTGGTCACTTATTTTCCTTACTGACTGACTTGACATTATTAAGAGTCATCCTATTTCGTGTATTCTAACCCTATTGTTAGAGAACCTGTCTTTACTCTTCGGTCAAAACACAGGTAGAAAACAGAATGCTCCATTGAAAGCTGATTTAACTAGCAAAAACCTTAGCACTTGCTGGAAACTGTGACCAAGCTAACTGTAAGGGCATTTTAATCAGTCATGTTGGCAAGAATGTGGCAATGGTCTGTGTCTCTTCTAGTCACAAGTTTGTTTTTGGAGGGGGGCCAGATACTGTTGGAAGAACATTCACTTGAATCAGTTTATCTTTTACCAATTTGAGTGCCTCCTACATGCTCAGCAGTAGGCTGAGTGCTGGGTGTTACAGAGATGAATGACTTGAAGTTAGTTATAAGACATGTACATAAGCAATTACAATGTGGGTAATAAGTGCTAAGAACCATAAGAACAATAAAACTTGGCCCCATGGGGATTCTGAAAGAGAGGGAGACTTGGCTTCTTTAAGCAGTTGGTATGACAGTCCCTTTGTGGAATACAGACAAGTAGAATTTTTTTCTGGCAGCCAACCCTCATTTGCTTTTCTACTATGGGACTACTATTAGCGTTTATGAAAGTCAGGTTACTGTCTCTTGTACCATCCTTTTGGACAGAATGGCAACTAGTGGGTTGGATAATCACACTTTTAAGAGGGAACTGACCTGTTTAAACTGCTGTACCAGTCAGTGCTATTCAAGAGTTCAGAGTCCACCTGGCCTCTGGAGGTCCTCTTCATCATTTCTATCAAGGATATGGATGAAGAGAATGTACAAGAAGATGCTCAATGGAGTAGAAAAAGGATGTCATCCATTCAGTTCCTACTACGCTTCAGCTGCCTTATCTATAAAATGTAGATTTCATATCTTGCCTACCTCACAGGGTTGTTGTAAGGATCAAATTAAATATAATGGATGAAAAGTGCCTTGTAAATTGTAAAGGACTACATCTGGGTTACATGGTGAAATGCGAAATCTATAAATGCCACAAAGTTGGCTGGCTGGTAAACTATATTGAAGCAAGCCTGAAAATGATTAACTTGGAGTACCCCAACTTCTGGGCCTAAACCATAAAACTGAAATGTCAAGTCTTACATTTAGGTTGAAAAATGCAGTGGTACAAGTTTAGGCACTAGGACTGCCGACAAAATACTAGTTCTAGTGATTATCAGCGTGAACCACATATACTCTGGATATTAAAAAAAAATTCCATTCTCGAAAGCATTAATATAAATATTGTCCAGCTGCTTAAACAGTCACCCTGAAGGCTGTATTGGTCAGTATTGCATTGTAGGTGCCAGACATTTGGTGGATGATGACAAGTCCAAATGCACGTAAAAAAGTGAATGATCAACAGGGAGAATATTGATAGTACTTGATAATAAAAGGTTATGCTGTCCAATATGGTAGCCACTAGCCACATCTGGCAACTACAGTTAAAAAAATTCAGTTCCTCAGTCACAGTAGCAACATTTCAAATGCTCCATCCACACTGGCTACTATACTGAACAGTATGGTTGTAGAGTATTTCTATTACAGAAAGTTCTGTTGGGCATCAGCATAGAAGGGATGGTCAAAGGAACAGAGTATGTTTAATGTGAACAGAGAAGACTCAGGGGTAATGAAGACTGCAACCTAGTATTTGAAGGGCTGTCATGAAAAAGATGAAGACTACTCCTGTGTTGTTCCATTTTAAGCTCCAGTGAGTGTGATTTTTGGTCTAAATAGAAGACTTTCAAACAAACTTTCAAACAATAGACTTTCTATTTCTAAATAGAAGACTTCTATTTGGTCTAAATAGAAGACTTTCTACATATACGTTTTACCTCAGTGGACGTAGCTGCCTTTTGAGATAGTGAGCTCTCTTCCCTTGGACCACTGAAGTGTATGCTGCATTATCGATCAGCTAGAGGTGCTATAGAGTGGACTCTGTTTAGGAGAGAGATTGGACTAGATGACCTCTAAGGATGTGTCCTACCTTTAACTTACATATTCAGACATAACTAAGTCCCAGACCTGCAAGAACATGCTTTCCTTTCATAATCTAGAAGCTAGTTTCTTTCGAAAATCAGTGCCACCTCCATCACCTCCATTTTAAGGGGAGGATCTTGTTTCGTCAAATTTCCAATTCTAAAGCCTGACAAGAGCGAAAATTCTTATAGATTTCTCAAACGTATTTGGTGAAAGCATTTTAGTATGCTTTCATTATTTATTCCTTTGGTCTGTGATCGCGATCTGAAGGTCACAGAAGATGTAATGTTCTACGGGGAGGGGATATAAGTTACATGAAAAGTAGACTGGATGGGAAGGAGGGGAAATTGAGTCCTTTTGAGTTTGAAGTGGTAGTAGTAACCACCGTCTGATTTGCTGAAGAGGTAAGGATAAGCTGTTCTAGCTTGGCTGCATTTGCTTTCCTGTTACTTGCTAGATCGACCTGTAATCGCACCCATGACACTGCCTTGGGTTGAGGCTTTACCCTCACTCAGGCTGGCTCCTCCTCCCTACCCTTGCAAATCCGTCCATTTAGACCTGCTCAGACGCCACCTCCTTACACTTTCTCACCCTCCCAACTCCCGAGCATTTTTATCTGCACCTTTGACCTTTACACTTCATATCTCATACCGAAGCTACTTACGCAGAGATCCGATCTCTATTAAATCTCCCAGCAACTTGAGGGCAGGCAGGGTCCGAGTCCGATCCAGTTTGGTATCCCTTGTCCCCCCAGGGCATCGCGGGCATCAGTAAATACTGGTTGGGCGAGTACCATTGTAGGAGCACAATCAGTTCTTCCCCCAAATGCCCAGAGAGCATCTCCCGTTGCGATGGCCTCCAGAGCTCCCAAAAAGGCAGGGGAGCGGCGAGGAGCAAGGCGCGTGGCAGGGCAGGACCGAGGTGCTCGCTAGGGCGGAGGGCAGAGGGCTCGGCCGGCCGGGCCACCCTCCTCGTGACTCCTCCTCCCCCCTCCACGGCTCCAAGTCAGGTGATTCCGGGCACGTGACGGGCACCACCTACCCTGCTGCTCCCGAGTGGCAGCTCGGGCGGCCAATGAGGGGCTGGGCCTCGGCGAGGAGCCTATGAGGGCCGGGCTCTAGGGGGCGGGCCCCGCGGCGGTGGAGGCTGCCGGGGGCGGTGGCGGCGGCGGACTGGGGAGGCGGCGGCCTGGCTTGGCCTGGCCTGGCCTGTCAGGGCGCGGGCGGCGGCAGCTCCAGCACCATGTCCCTGCAGTACGGGGCGGAGGAGACGCCCCTAGCCGGCAGTTACGGCGCGGCGGATTCGTTTCCGAAGGACTTCGGCTACGGCGTGGAGGAGGAAGAAGAGGAGGCGGCAGCCGCGGGCGGCGGGGTTGGGGCGGGGGCCGGCGGAGGCTGTGGCCCGGGGGGCGCTGACAGCTCCAAGCCGAGGATTCTGCTCATGGGGCTCCGGCGCAGCGGCAAGTCCTCCATCCAGAAGGTGAGTGGGGCCGCGCCGCGTCTCCCGGCTCCCCCTCCCCCTCCCGGGGGCTCGGGTGGCCGCTGGGCGCGTGGGGGGGGGAGGTGCGGAGGAGGGCGCGGCCGGGGCCGGCTGGCCGGGTTGTCCCACCGCACTTTTTCTAGTCTGGGGAGTGGGGCCAGAGGTGCGGCCCGCGGAGCACCCGGACTCGGAGTCCACGCCCAAGTCAGCCGAGGCCGAGTGGGTCCCCGAAGGCGAGACTGGCTAGAGGGAGGCAGGTGCCGGTGGCACCGCCGCCCCCTGGGACCCAACCCCAGAGTCCTTTCCGAAACTGAGACGTACTCTGCAGTTCCAACTTGGAGAACTTGTCCGACTCCCTCCTCTGCCCGGTTTTTGTGTATTCCTCTCACTTCAGGTGACTTGAGTTTGCAGGGCTTCCCAGGTGAGCCCCAGGGACCTGCGTCAGGAAGAGCTGTGACTAAGTCACTGGCCGTTTTAATGTTTACTACTACGAAGGAGAATTTAACATCACTGGGGATTGGGGAGCTGTTATTCCACCAGTTTTGGTACTTGGGGCCAGACGAATGTAATCGCTGGTGATAGTCCCTCCTGGTATGTGTGCGATACAAAAATCTTCTGAGACCTCGAGAATATTTGCAGACCTTTGTCAGTCCATTTGCTTTCACTTTGGGTCTGTCAGGAATAAATGGAGGGCTAGACCCTTTTTAGTAAGGGGGAAACTGAGGCAGGGTTGGCCTCCTCCAGTAGCCATCCCCCTCACACGCAAGTGGTAGTAAAACACCAGATACCTGGTCTGTTGCCCTTTCCACTCGTTGCAAAGGTCTGTCCAAAATAATTCTGTGATATTTTGTAAACATGATGGTTTTAAAAAGTAGCCTTCTTCTGAAATTATGGGATTACTGTGTTTTATTTACTTCCGAATTTACTGGATTGCTGGGTTTTATCTATCTTCTCACCTCTACAGCATATTTTGAGTAAATTCATGGTAGGGTTTTAGCAAACAATTTAATTCTTCTCGCTTGTTACTCATTGACTAAACTTTGGTAGTAACTACCCATTTCCTTTTCTAGAAAGTAACAGTGAGAGACAAATTAGCTTTATGTTAGAATTGTATGGATTGTAATTATCCTGATTGTCAAGCTACCTTTTTAATTTTTATTTTATTTATTTTGTATTATTATGTTAATCACCATACAGTACATCATTAGTTTTTGATGTAGTGTTCCATGATTCATTGTTTGCGTATAACACCCAGTGCTCCACGCAGAACGTGCCCTCTTTAATACCCATCACCAGGCTAATCCATCCTCCCACCCCCTGCCCCTCTAGAACCCTCAGTTTGTTTGTTTCAGAGTCCATCATCTCTCATGGTTTGTCTCCCCCTCCGATTTCCCCCCCTTCATTCTTCCCCTCCTGCTATCTTCTTCTTTTTTTTTTTAACATATAATGTATTATTTGTTTCAGAGGTACAGATCTGTGATGCTATGGTGAGCACTGTGAATTTTACCATTTCTTTTCTCATGGGAGCAGTCATTTCCCTGTCAACTCCTCTCCTGCCCCCCCCCCCCCCCATATCATTTTTTACTTGGTATAATTACTTTCTGTTTTATTTCTTCCACAAGACTGCAAACTCAGTGAAGGCAGAGTCTAGTCAGTTACCTTTCTAATTCTCAGAGCCTGATACAGGCATCCCAGTAAGTTTACAACGAGCAAAAAAATCTTAAACTTTAGCTATAAGCTTTTATAATCTTAAAGCAGATTTTGGCAGAATTAATACAGTTTAACAGAAAACAAAATCAATTGACGTGAGAGACATTGCTACTACTAGGATTGACTATGTGCAGAGAAAATAGAAAAGTTTCAGCTTCAAAATAGGCTTGATAGAAAGTAATTTGGTGCCTTCTCATCTCTCAGAAGTTAAAGGATAGTGAGTATTGATGATACACCATTCACTTTTTATCTTTTTTAAAATTTTTGCTATAGGATCAAATTCTTTATATGTTAATTCAGGGTGGAATTTTGAACTTTAAATACAAAGTTGAATAGTTATAAAATTATCTTTTCTTTTAACAGGTGGTGTTTCATAAAATGTCACCCAACGAGACTCTCTTTTTGGAAAGTACCAACAAGATTTATAAAGATGACATTTCCAATAGCTCCTTTGTGAATTTCCAGATATGGGATTTTCCTGGGCAAATGGACTTTTTTGACCCAACTTTTGACTACGAGATGATCTTCAGGGGAACGGGAGCATTGATATATGTCATCGATGCACAGGTAGTAGGAATAATGATGTTTATTTCCTTTTTCTCATGTCAAAAGATGTAGACACAAAGGAAAGGTGTTTATCTTCTTTATTATGTGCTTCTTGCAGATTATTTCTTTGCCGGTAGATTTCCTAGCAGTATGGGAGATGGAACTACAGAGGTGTGTTGGGAGCAGGCATGCCATTGTGCGAGTACAGAATATGAGATGATTAGGGGATAGTGGCTTATTATCTTTGAGTTCCAGTTAATGAGCAGTTTTCCACTTTTATTTGTTAATAGTGGATATTGCCGTATTTCATTAACTATTACAATAGTGATGTCACTCACTGGAAGGGTCTTCTCAGTGCCCATAATCTAATGAGGAATAGGAGAACTGAGTCAGTAAATATAAAAGTGAATAGTTTTCTTGGTTGTCCAAATTGAGTTTGGCTCAACAAGCATTTATTGAGGGCCTAGCATGTGACAAGCCCTGAGATGAATGGGACATGTCCCTGACCTTAAGAAGCTTGAACATTATTTAGGCATGCTTTCTGAGTGAGAGGCTCTGTAATGGATGCTTTCACATACATGACCCAGTGTAATTTATTCTTTATAATACTGTGAGGTAGGTATAGTAATTCCAATTTTATGGATGAGTAAACTGAGATCACAAGTTTAAGGAAGCTGCTTAAAGTCACACATCTAATAAATGGCAGAGCTGGGATTACTTTTAAAAAAATTCTGTTGGGAAGAAATGTCCATTTCCTTTTCCCTTTTCTTATATTATCAATATTAAAAATTACAAACATTAACTTGGTAGTTGAATTTTTTATCTGGAGAGATGAAAGATTTAGAGAGATTAATGTATTTGAATGGAGTATTTGTGAATAATTAGGATAATATATTTTCTGTGGTTGGGGAAAGAGGTGGTTTGAGGCTTTCTTAACTCGTTACTGACTTTTACAAGATTTCTTTTTAAAAAATATTTTGTTCTGACTTACAGGATGACTACATGGAGGCTTTAACAAGACTTCACATTACTGTTTCTAAAGCCTACAAAGTTAACCCAGACATGAATTTTGAGGTTTTTATTCACAAAGTTGATGGTCTGTCTGATGATCACAAAATAGAAACACAGAGGGACATTCATCAAAGGGCCAATGATGACCTTGCAGATGCTGGGCTAGAAAAACTCCACCTTAGGTAACAACATGTGTGTTTGATATGAGAGCCCTGAAAAATGTGTAAATGTATTCCCATCTCTGTCATTACAAACACGTAGCTTTCTGTTACTGGTATACCCTTCCCAAATCTGTAATGTTCTTGATCTCTTTGTGGAATTCAATTTTGGGAACCTGATGGTATTTGAGAAGTTACTTTCCCAATTTTTTTGCATTTTCCTGGAGATTGAAGTCATGTGAAGTGTTTTCATTGGTGCTTTTAAAAATTCATCTCAAGAGACTGGAATCAGCCTGTTTCCTCATGGCATAAATCTGCTTTGGGACTCCCCTCTCTTGATTTCATCATTTATTTATTTATTTTCATTTTGCCTCAGTTCAAGGACTCTGTCATATTTGTTGTAGAACTATGTAGCTTGAGTCTTCACGGTATTTTTTTCAGTAGGAAGAGCCTTTTAAAGAGGTACATTTTCAAGTCTGGACTCTAATGTATCTTATGTATGTTTTAAAAACAGTTTCTGCTTTTCTGAATCTCTAAAGTTTGGGTTAGGTGAGTTTATTCTATAAATCTGTTTAGGGTTCCTGTTAGGTTTAAAGAACTGCTGATTCGTAATTAAATACCATTCAGAAATGATTAAAGAACAACTACTAGATAGGATTGATGATTTATGTGCTTGTGTTCTGAAAGTGTATGAGGAATATTTTCTGTATTTTGTATTTTTTTGGTGGTATAGGTAGATATGAGTAATAAAAAGTACCTAAGAAAATGTTCTCTTGAGGATATAAACAGCTTAAAGGGGAAGCAGGGGAGAGACACATGTATAGCTATTTCCCTATCCCTGGTCTGTTAGAGTGACTTCCTTATAGACTCAAGCCACCCCCCATCCCTACCCCAAATATTCCCTAGGGCCTCAGGTTCCAAGGTCTTTCAATTATTCTATTAGGATGTCATGTAGAAAAAGTCTCATTGATCTGTAGTTTGTCTGGATTGAAATTTTAAAATATTTATCAGTAATTCATGCTTAAAAAATTATTTGTAAGTGAAAGTGAAAGTGCTTCCCTATGAATTTCCTCAGTCTTAACTTTTTGGGACTCTACTCTTAACAATGGATTTTAGGCTGTGATTGTCCTGT